GTTAATTAGGGCAAAGTACAGAAAAAAGGTTTAAAACCTAGTTTGTTGCTCTTGCCTGATTTGAGTGGCTGCTTTATTTTTTGCAGTAGAAGGTACTAATGCCGTGTTTGTTTTCTGGTGGAGCTCTGGGTGGAGTGAGGTGGGCGAGGGACCGGACCAGCCTTTGCTCCGTGGGCAGGCGGTGGGCAAGGGTCTGCATTCAGAATGCAGGATCGTTATGTCCAGGGAAGTTGTGGCTTTCTGGCTATTTCCAGTGGCGTTTGCACTGGGTGTGATGAGGAATTTTGTAAAGATTACTTTTATAGAATATTTTTGTGGTTACTTTTCTAGATAAGGGGAAGGTCTTCAAAAATAATGTCTATATGTGATCTACTTAAATGAAAGCAGAATAGATACTGCCTTAGCTTATCTAGCCTTTCCTTGGGAAAACTAGCATCACTGATTTCTCAATAAATATGCTTTTTTTTTTAATTATATAATTAGGTATTTCTGACTGGATGGTCTGCACAGTTTAAATTGTAATATGTGAAATGAAAAATCTGTCTCAATTCTCTTATTTTATAGCTCAAGCTAGTATCTATTCCTGATGTATTTGACACACATTCAGACCTTTGTATGGTCTGTCATACCTACTTCTTTCAAAATTTGTGTATCTTCACCAGGTCCCTGTGTAATCTCCTTTTTTTGCCTAAATTCTTGTATCTTCCTGGCTGTCATTTGCAGAACCTTCCCCAGCTATATAATATTTTGTTAGAGGAGCGAACAAAGCTGCTCACATGAGCAACGTGGTTGCACTAATCCTTCATGCAGTGTTCAGCTAGGTTTGGTATCTCTATTAATGCATTCTAAAATGTTTTTGCCTTTCTCCTTCTGTAAGCAGAGTTGTAGGTTTTAAAGTTTAATCTACCATAGCCTCCAACTCTCTTTGCTCAGTATTTTATAGCATTTGACCAATGATGATGCAATTCTCTCTTTCTTTCTCCCTGACTATACGCTGCTTGATATTTCTTTACGCTGAATTGCACTCAGACTCCAGTTTCCTGCTGGGTCTGTGCTGTTTGTCGTCTTTTTCACGTGGGCTCCACCACGACATTTAGTTCCTTTTACATGCTGCCATGATAGACATCATCTGTCAGCCAGCAACAACGGGGGTGTCCCCTCTGCAACAATCTGCTGGGCTTGCAGGGCAATAGATCGGTCCCTCCCTGCTGCAGAACAAATCTAGATAAAAAATAAGTTACGTAAAAACTCCAGGCACTTGGTATCTCTCTTTATGTGCAGAGCTGATTGTCCTTCTCTGCTTAGTTACCGAGGTTCTGCGTGTTTCTCGCTTGTTTGCACAAAGAACAGCATGGCAGGAGGCGGGCAGAAGAAGAGGAGCCCAAAAGGACATCCACTGTGTCCTCCTTTGTCCAGCGTGCGTGCTCGAGACTTTGTTCTGATCCTTGAGCTTGGCGTGATTGGAAAATACGTATGGAAGCAACAACAGAAATAGCTGTTCTCCAGCGGGGGGATTTGGCTGCCCTCTTCTGACTGTGTTTGAGCTTTAGGCAGTCGAGCCTCTGGCTGACAGCGTGCAAACTGTCGGGTGCCGAGAAGCGGCTGTTCCCATTTTTGATTACTATGTACAGAAATAAAAGTACACTAGCTAGGGTAGAGAGAAGTGAGAGACGAGTCATTCTCTGTGTGGTAATGAGGAAAAAAATAATATTTTCTTCTCATCATCTCTTTGCCAGCTGCCGTGAGACAAGCTGTTTGCTTTGTCAGGAGTGAGTCTGGCGGTACGGTGGTGGTAGAGTATGGACTTGGAGAAGACAGCCCCCATGTCTTTGGAGTTGGTTTGGGGATTAACAAATATAAAGATGTGTCAGGTGGACTGACTGGAAATAAAGTGTAACACACTGGAGGTCTGAGGTTTTATTTCTGCTGTGCCACCAGTTCACACCACCTTCCTGTGCATCGGTTCTTTTTCAGTTTCCGCTTCACGCAGTGTAGAGACCCACTGATGTTGGTAAAGCAGCGTGTGGGTCCTAGGAACCAAATATGGATGTACAGACCAGAGGTCTCTCCTTTTTATAAAATACTAGGTATTTTTAGATGAAAGCAAGAAATAAGGCATTGTATTTACATCTTGCATTCATTCATTTCAGAGCATATAAAATGTAAATTAACAATATGTCAAGGGAATCTTTCAAAAGGGTTGCGTTCGGCCCATGTAGAGTAGCTCATGGCCAACAACACCACAAAAGCTGAGACACATAGAGTGTAGACTCATGGCAAAACTTAGTTTCAATTAAGAATTTAAAAATATGCAATTAGAGCTAGTTTAATGTAAAAATATAGGGGTTTTTTTCCTGAAATTTGAGAATCTTAAATATTTTTTCATTTTTTTTTAACTGGAACTCTCACAGCCCAAGGCTATCTGGAATTATTTGACAAAAGGCATAATGGATGGTAGCTTTTCAGAAATCTCATCTGTCTTCTAGATTTCTGCACAAATCTTTAGAAGGTTTTGGGTTCCTCATCCTAAATGAGTTATTTTTTTTTAATTATGAAGTTTTCTGGAAAAGGAAACCTGTATCTCAGCCAGCTGAATTTACAGACTTACAGCATGTACTGTTATTTAACTCTTCAGCCACGTGAGATATTTGGCTTGAGTAAAAGCTGTACGAAACTCAAAGCAAAACAGATGTCACGCTAATGAATTCAGAATAATTCTTGAGATCCCCTTTTTGCACATCCCAACACAGGAAACAATAAACAAATCATCTTAACATTTCCCTAGAGACAAAACCTGAAGATAAAAGACTTGCTTTTTCACTTGAACCAGTGAAACCATTATATTGAATTCCAAGGTACAGAGTACCTTCCAAATGCCAGGAAATACCAGTTAAGGGCAGTACTCTAGCATGGTTGTAATTTAGGTTTTTTTTAAAAAAAAAATATATATATATATAAGCTTGTTACAAAAAAGCAGGATACCTAGTGGAATTTAAATGGCCACATTTAAAAAGGATTTAATCAAGCTTTTTTGGTTAATCGCAGCCTCTCACAAGACTGTTGGGTATCTCTTAGTGCCAGTATTTAGCGCTTTTGCCAACTGTCTGAATTTTCAGGCAATCTGCTGATAAAAATAAACTGAGCTTTTGACTAGTTATAATTTGACAAGTTTTAATTTTGCATTTTAAGAAATTAACCAACTCCCTGCAGATCAAGTCCCAAGCCGTTCTGCCTTAGGAGCGGTTTCATTTCCCTGGAGGAGCAACATGTAAATCTTTGACATGTGAGAGAATCCAAACGTGCGAACGCCGAGCAGAGCAGGGTCTGTCTAGAAGAGCTGGTGTTGGTTCGGAGGCAGTGATTGATGGAGTTTGGGGGTACTTGGCTCCTGGAGCAGATGTGGAAAACCTTGTCCAGATTCAGTCACAGTTTCCTGCAGATGAGACCCATTGATACTAATATGCAAAACACCCCAGGCTCTGTCCTGGTTTTGTAATGTCCTTATAACATAAGAAACCCTAATTTTTTATTTTTTTTTTTTTGAGTATGCCTGTAAATTTTGAGTTAAACTGTTGCTGGAATTTCAGCTATGCAGTTTCTTCATATAAAGAGAGCTGCTTGTCGAGGCTTTAATGAGCCTGCACAGACCACACAAAGAACTCTCTAGCTCTTGCTGCCTTTGTTTTTAGAAACCGCTTTTTTAATTGTCCAGACTATCTGGAATGGTGTTTTCAGGTTTGACATTTGTTTGGGAAACTGTATCCAGTCTACCATAAGAAGTAAAATCTGAAGACATTATTCTTTTGGATCAGATGTAGTCAGTCCCAAGGCTGCTGCTGACAGCAGAGTGACATCATGGTATAGTAATGTATAGTGTAATATTGTCCTGGCATGTAGCCTCCTACTGCGTGCTACGAGCTCGGTTTGAAATGGTTGGTGTAGCATATTGGAGGTGTGTTGGCAGTTATTTGCATAGCATTTCTGATCATTTAGAAAAGGTAGGCAAGCAGAAAGACCACGAATGCATAATTCTCTCTTGGAATCTTTATTTTTATCTCGATTCAAGTGGATCTTGTAATGATCAGTTCTACTCCCTGTATGGGAAAAAATCATCTTTTCCGCAGCCTAAATGGTAGCATCGTTCAAACTTCTTATGTTTTCCTGTCTTTGGGCTATGACAGAGTGGTAGTGGATTCTGCCCTGCTTTAGCATTTGTTGTTTTATGTATTTGATTTTGTTCTCCCTCTTATCATGTTTTCTTTCTGCGGTAAACAGTAGCCTCTGTGCATCTCCTAGTACAACTACTCTACTCTCTCTTCTGATCTACAGCAGAGGAGCTGAGCTCACTATTTGAAAAAAAGAATTTCAGAGTAAAATCTCCGTGTTCTGGGAAGCCGTCAATACTGTCTGTGCGACTTGAACAGTGTCCGCTGCAGCTGAATAACCCCTTCAATGAGTACTCAAAATTTGACGGCAAGGTAAGTGGACCAGATGTTTTTCTCTCATATCCAGGTGGTCCCTGACCAGAAGATGATGGGCTTTAGGCACTGCTCATGTGCATTCATTTGTTCAAGCCTTAATTAGACTATAGTAGGCCATCAGTTATTTTAAAGTGATTATCCAGAAACATGCCTCTCTTAGTCCTAAATATAACGGTTCCAGGTTCATTAGAACTGTTTCTCCCATTTTCTCTACAAAATTACGCCTTACCGCTGGGCATGCCTTACCTTGCTGTGTTCTTCTCCAGCAGGTTAGTTGGGTAAACGTTTAGTGTGGCAGAGCCCTAGGACATCTCTGCAGAGCTGGTGGTGAAACTATCTGAATAAACAATTGGTTATTTGGCATTTTAAAAAAATCATATCCTGTCTAGCCCCATCACGGCTCTTGCTGAGTATTCCACAATTTCTGCTGTTTTATCCTCAAAATGCTCCAATGAGAACGGGAAAAGCCACTGTCTGTTGTGAGGGTGGAAAGCTGAAGCGTCGATAGGTCAGTATCTGGGGCAAAAAGAGGATTGAACAGTGTAGTTGTGCACAAGGACTCTGCCATGTAATGCACAGAGGAGGGTCACTACAGACCTGGCAGGTCACAGTCATTCCTTGACTACATACATTTAATATTGCTCAGAATTGTGGATAACTGTCTTTCCTTGTGTGCAGTTTAGTTACTCTGGATTGTTGGATAGTTTTCTTTGTCATAAATTCTAGAAACAGAAATACAAACACTGGTGTGATGGATCAGTGTCATATTGTTTCAAAACAATTGTAAATACTGCACAGATCTGTTTGCTGCTGGATTTGTTTGTGGAATCTCCTGTGGGAGTATGAAGTTTGAGCTTCATTACCACTGTGATGGAAGAATTTCATATTCTGTTAAGTACTCTTGAAGTGGAAAGTCAGATACGTAATTCCACCTAGAAGTATTTAGAGCATCTGTGAAATGGTAACTTTTAGACGATGAAATCCATGTAGCAGAAGCTGCCTCTGTTGTTATTTTGTACTTACTAGTGTCTAGCAATTAGTGCTAACTCAGTTTTTCAAAATTTCTCGTCTCATTAATAAATGATGGCGGTACTTGAATGCTACCAACACTAAGATGCCTTTTTTCTAAACTCAAATCTTGCTGTTCTTACGTCATGGAATTTGAGTTTGGCAAGCATTTAAATGTGCTTCCAACAGTTATGCACAGAGGAAGTGAAAAAATAAAATATTTTTATTAAGAGCAATTTATTGTAATTCAGTGGTGTCCCAGTGGGCTACCTGCTGGAATTTGTCTCTGAAACTTGAGGAACTTAAGCATGTTTCCTTCCCACTTTGACAATCCAAACTCCTTTTTGCAGCATTAAGAGGAGTTACAGCTGGCTGTCGTGAACATCTTCATGTTCATATTGAAAAGTCTGATACACGCAGCAGGTGTTTGGAGCATGTGAAGGAAACGGTGCTATACGTGTTAGTTTGAGATATTAATGAAATACCTCAGTGCTACTCAGTTGTGGTTTGTAGGGGATGGTACGCATCAACTCGATTGTGATCCAGAAATCAAAATACCTTTGTAACTCTCCAAAATAATTGAATCGGCATTTTCTTAGAGTATAATCTCGCTGTATTAATTTTAACAGCATTGTTTATATTACTCTGGTAAGTTTGTCGATAGTATGCTTATAACATTTATTCTCTGTGCTTCTGTATGTATTGTCTGCTTTTAAATACCTACCTGACCGTCTGAGATAGGGAAGAAACATTACAGTTCAGTGCTGAGTTATTTTCCTTATGTCAGTTTTGTTGTTTTGTCAGACAGCAATGTAAAACCACAAACCACCTAGCTTTTAAAGTTATTTTTAATGAAATATCATAGATCTCATATTTATTTTCATTGAGAACAGATGAGCAGTATTTTTCCCATAAATACAGTTCTTTCAGGGAATAGTGCGTGGCTTATTTACATAATTAGCAGAGCCAGATATCTCTTGGGGAAATGGTACATAATTGGGGAGAGGCAGGGGATGAGGAGGGGCTGGGGGCCTAATTAAACATGTCTTAAAAAAACCCCTACTTAATTATGTATTTACTCAGGGGATGGCAGTGGCTCTGGAATCTTTAAGATTATCACTAGGCCTTTGGTTTATATACATGTGAGCTTTAGAACACAGATTTCCAGCTTGTCTGGTGACACCCGTTCAGTGGCTCTCTGGCAGAGCAAGAGGAGAGCTCTGTGCTTGCTGTAGCTCAGCTCTTTGTTCGTGGGCGTACTCCTCTTCACTGCCTTCTGAATGGTTTTAGTTTACCACCAATTCGGCGTCCTAACTGACCTGTAATAGAATAAAACCATTCTCTTCAGGGTCCTTCCCGCCCGTCCCTCCAGCCTCGGATGCATTGCTTTCAGCTAACCAGTTCACAACGAGGAAACATTGTCTGTCCTGCCATCAGCCGAGGCAGCTTATTAAAGGGCTCACACCTCGCAGGTGTTTTCTGCCAGGTTTAGTGTCTTCTTCATAACCACGTCTGCAGTTTTATGAATTAATAAAATTTTAAAGCACTCTAATTTCTTCTTGTTCTGATCAGTTCATTAATTATCAAAATCCTAGAGAACATGGCTTGTGAAATGCAGCTGCAATGGAGGCGTTCCCTTCAGCTCAGGAATTCGGGTGGTTCTTGCCCCACAACTGCACAGGACGGATCCATGGCTTTCACGTACATAGTGAAACTTCAGCTCTTAACTAAAGACACAAAATAGGTCAACGTGGTTTTTGGCTAGACAGATGCTAAAAACCCTCTGGTGCGGATGGTACTTGTGCACGGTGTTACGAGGTTTCTTGTGGCTGATTTTGGTAACGGGTTAAAAACCAACAATTTCTCTTGTAGCAACTGTTTTAAAAATGATGCTGAAGAAAGCATGGGGGAAGGGATAATTCATGAGTGCTAATTGCTTGGCTGTTAATTTTCATAAGTGTTGATAGAAGCAGTTCCTTAAATTAAACTTTGTTTAAAATGTATCAAGGGAAATATTCCACAATGTCGGGCCTGAAGTGAAAATTAATATGAATGCTGTGGCAATTAACACGTACTGGTTAATAGCTTTTAGCAGCATTTTGGGATGATAGTCCTTAAATACATTTTTGCATGCTGCTCTTGTTTCAGTTTTGTTGGACTGTGTGTCTGGATAATCATGAACAAATGTTTTCCCCGATCTCCAGTATTAAATAGCTTTACTCAAAGAAAGTAGATAAAGACCTTAAGAAAGAAGCAATACTACTGTAATTAATATGGAAGATGTCTAATTAATCCAGGATTAAAATTCAGTGTGAAAAAAATGCATTTTTTAATTTAAATGTATTGCCCCTAAACTGAGTAGAATCATTCTCATCTAAATCCTAAAAAAGTTTGTGTAGGTTGTTTTTTTTTTTTTTAAAGCATTTGCTTATTCTGGCAGTTGTAGTGGTTTGCATACTACCTGCACTCTGCTATGATAGTTGAAATAAAGATGTTTATGGTGTTATCACTTATGTTATGTGGCATATATGTTGTGTGAAGCTGCAGGGTCGGTATGGATGCCGGGAGGCTCCTGCTGCGGTGGCACCCAGAGCCGTGCCCCAGTGCCCAGCCCCTCCCGCGGCCCCGTGCGCTTGCCTGGCACCCACCCGCCTGGCCAGGGAGGGAGACTTCTGTTTCGCCGAGATGGAAACAGTCCTTTCCCTTGGCTTTTGTTTGCATTGCTTTGTATTTTATTTTGCTGGAGAGGCGACTGTTGGGAGATGCTCACCCTGGCCCGAGGGATGGAGGAGCCGCCTCTGCTCATGCCACCGATGCTCAGGGGACCAGCATGTCCCCCGCTGGGTGGCTCTGGCAAGGCTCCGCTCCACCATTTAGATGCTGTCATGGACCATAGAGCACGAGAGTCCTTGTGTTTCCATACGGTGATTGAAATATATTAAGCTTCGCTGTTTCTTGATTTAAAGTACTTTGGCGTGTGTTTTGTTCTTTCCTAGAGGAAAATCCCTGTACCGAGGGGTAAGGCAGCAGCTCCTGGTGGTGGTTGGACACTCCCTTCTGGAAGTAACTGGAAGCGCGGACAGAAAGCTGAGTTCTGCGGCAGGAGCAGGCGCTTGCAGAATCCGCTTTCTGTAGGTGCAGCGGGGCCGGCAGTGTGCGTAGGCGCTACCTGCCGCGGGGTGTTTCCATGTGCAGGTGGTGGCTCCGGTGCCTGCAGGGACAATGCAGAGGGGCTGCAGCCACCCTTCCAGCCCCAGCCCGAGCCTGGGGGAGCAGATAAGGCGGCTGAATGTCAGCGTTGCACTGTCATCGCTGTTTGGGGACTTGAATTTTATCTCGCAATTCCAGGCATCTCACTTGCATTAAAAAATATTTTTCTGGCCTTATGCAGATTAAATTAATGTGGATCTGGTTTGATTAACTTTGGCTTGAGGGCACATTCAGTTCGCTTCTCCCTTTGCTGTACTCGCTTCTGCGTCTTTTGTTGCTGTCGATGGTGGGTGCCCCTGCTAGCCCCCGTCCCTGTCTGACAGAGGAGCTGCCGTGGTTCGGGGCTGGTGGCAGGCTCTGAACTCGCTGAAGGGAGACGGCACAGACAGCGGTGCTGCTGGTAGTGCTTTCCGAAGGACTTCGTCGTTCTGGGAAACCCTCTGCTCCCTGGCATTCCCGTGTCGGGGAGGTTTGGTCAGTACTGCCACACCGCTCTGAATACGGTGATACTTGAGAGTAAGTTCTGAAAATCTGCAAACTATGCTTCTATGTAACAAAGAATTAAATTGATTTGTTATGTGTGCGTTTAGCTACAATTCATTTTAATTGTCCTTATGAAGTTAAAAAGTATTAGCGTCAGATAAAGATTCATCACCATGGCATGATTTAAGGCTGGTGCTATAGAAAGCAGGCATGTGTTCTGGCAGATGTTTGTAGAAGGCACTGTCTCTTCTGACAGCAGTTAAAAAGTATGGTTGTAGTAATCAAATTGTGGTGCA